TTTTGACATTTAATAGGCTTTTCTTTCATCCTTCCTTATTATCCAACATTTTTAATTATCCAACATTCTGCCGGCCTATCTATGTTGGATAAGCGAGACTCTACTGTAGTTCCTTCCCTTTATAAACAAACGGAAGGATGCTGGGAATTGTAGTCCTACTCTGGGCTCCACAGAGCATGACTCCATCCATGGAATGCTGGATCCATAAGACCCCAAAGGAATGACTTGAATGAAGTTACTTTCCAGACTGTAATTCCTGGCACTGAAACTGGTGGATGCTGGGTTTCGTCACCCACAGAAGGGGCCTTTGCTAAGCTCTGGCTCCTTCCTTGCCTAACAGTGCGTTTACTCATCCGTCTGGAGCTCTGCGCAACTGGACAAGCTGGGGAAGCGAGTTCTGGAGACGCCTTTCTTTGGCTGCAGGGCTGTGTTTTGAGGCAACTCTGCAAGCGCCGTTGTGCGCAGCCCCAACATGCCGCCTCCTAACAGACTCAATATGAATCAAGGAGATGAATGCAATGGCAAGCCTACAGAGCAACTAGCAAAGCAGAGAGAAAAAGAGAGGTGGAAAGCTCCACAAAACGACACCGAGAGGCGGCTGACTTGGTTGCAACGGGGAAATCCAGGAAGCCCCTTTAATTTGGCACGTCCCTCTTTGTACAGATTTGGCCCCAGAAGAAACTCCTATCCAACCCAAAAGGTGCAATTTGGCCCTTTAAAAATTAAGAAAGGAAAAAAATAAGTGGTTCCCTTTGATGTTTTATAAGCAATTCAAAGCCTTTCCCATTCCCCAAATTTAAGGTGCCTGATATCAATGGCCTCAATCCTATTGATTAGTCCTTAAACTAGAACATTAAAAAAAATCAAATTTTGAATGGTAAGTCAACACATACCCTGTTTCCCCTAAAATAAGACATCCCCTGAAAATAAGACCTAGTAGGGGTTTTGCTGAATTGCGAAATATAAGGCCTTCCCTGAAAGTAAGACCGAGCAAAGTCTTTGTTTGCTCCCCCTGTCATGGGAGATCAGTTACAGTATACAGTGTTCCCTCACTACTTTGTGGTTCGCTTTTTGTGGACTGTAAGACATCCCTTAAAAATAAGACCTAGTAGAGGTTTTGCTGAATTGCGAAATATAAGGCCTTCCCTGAAAGTAAGACCGAGCAAAGTCTTTGTTTGCTCCCCCTGTCATGGGAGATCAGTTACAGTATACAGTGTTCCCTCACTACTTTGTGGTTCGCTTTTTGTGGACTGTAAGACATCCCTTAAAAATAAGACCTAGTAGAGGTTTTGCTGAATTGCGAAATATAAGGCCTTCCCTGAAAGTAAGACCGAGCAAAGTCTCTGTTTGCTCCCCCTGTCATGGGAGATCAGTGTTCCCTCACTACTTTGTGGTTCGCTTTTTGTGGACTGTAAGACATCCCTTAAAAATAAGACCTAGTAGAGCAGTGCTTCTCAAGCTTGGGTCCCCAGATGTTTTTGGCCTACACCTCCCAGAAATCTCAGCCAGTTTACCAGCTGTTAGGATTTCTGGGAATTGTAGGCCAAAAACATCCGGGGACCCCAGGTTGAGAACCACTGTAGTAGAGGTTTTGCTGAATTGCGAAATATAAGGCCTTCCCTGAAAGTAAGACCGAGCAAAGTCTTTGTTTGCTCCCCGTCGTGGGAGATCAGTTAAAGTATACAGTGTTCCCTCACTACTTTGTGGTTCGCTTTTTGTGGACTGTAAGACACCCCTTAAAAATAAGACCTAGTAGAGCAGTGCTTCTCAAGCTTGGGTCCCCAGATGTTTTTGGCCTACAACTCCCAGAAATCTCAGCCAGTTTACCAGCTGTTAGGATTTCTGGGAATTGTAGGCCAAAAACATCTGGGGACCCCCAGGTTGAGAACCACTGTTAGTAGAGGTTTTGCAGAATTGCGAAATATAAGGCCTTCCCTGAAAGTAAGACCGAGCAAAGTCTTTGTTTGCTCCCCGTCGTGGGAGATCAGTTACAGTATACAGTGTTCCCTCACTACTTTGTGGTTCGCTTTTCGCGGACTCACTGTTTTGCGGGTTTCTGCCTCCTAGCAACAATGGAGTGTGGAAGTGGGTTTCTGTTAGGGATTCCTCAACTTCAGAAGAGGAAGGAGAGCAGGGAATTGGAGGGAGAAGAATCATCAGATGATGAGGGTTTGAAAGTATCCACATTTCTAGAGACAAAAAGAGACAGAGCACAGACGGCACTCCGCTAGAATAGCTTCTAAAAACGCTGAGCTAATTGGGAGACTCCCTAGCACCTACTGCGTGGGGAATTCAGGGCTATAAATCAGAAGCAGTCAGCTTTCGCTGGTAACAACGACCCTGATACTGATGTTTTCACTCCAATGGAATCTGTTTTGTGTCTGCTGCTAAGGACTTAGTGATCATTGCCTGTTGTCTGATGGAAAACTGCTGTTTCTTTTGGGACTTTGTAAGAGACTTTAATTTGGGTCTGGATTAAGACTTCCTTGCTTTCTTTTGCACTTTTCAATTGCATTTGCTTATCCTTTTGTGTTTGCTGAAGTAAAATATTTATGTTTTACTCTCAACATTGTCTAAAGGCTGTTTTTGAAAGGCAACTCAGGACAGTTTCACCCTCTCGGGACAGAGGCAGGTAATCATTAAAAAAGAGAGAGAGGGAGGAGATACAAAGCAGTATGTAAATCATGGCCTTATAGCCCCTTCCTTATAGGTAGCCAAAACAAAAAAGGTGTGCAGTGTCTTTAAATCTCTCGCTTCTGCCTTACCCTCGTAATGCGATATATATATAGAGAGAGAGACAGACAGACAGACAGAGAGAGAGAGAGAGAGAGAGAGAGCGCATCCCTACTTCGAGGATTTTCACTTTTCCTGGGTTGTCCTGGAGCATAACACCTGCGATAAGTGAGGGAACACTGTATAATAATTGTTCATTTTTTGGTTCAACAATACATGTGAATTCTTTATGGAAAAATAAGACATCCCCTGAAAATAAGACCTAGCACATCTTTGGGAGCAAAAATTAATATAAGACACTGTCTTATTTTCAGGGAAACAGGGTAGATTTACTACAATCAGGACTAAGAACAGGATCCAGCCCATCTCTTTCGCTATTTGTCCTCCACCAGACGGGTTTCCACCCCCCCCTTTCCCTTTATTTCGGGTTCGCCCCAAAGGAGGAGTTGGGGGTCTTTGTGGAATCCCTCTGCCCACCATCAATGTCTGCATTGGGCTTTTCCTGCAGATGGTTCTTGGTATATCACAGGAATCGTCCTTCCGACAGAAGCAAGAAACATATGGCAACAAGCAGCCATCAAGCATGGTCAGAACTGAAGCCAGGAGCCCCTTCCCCACATAGAGCCATTTGCAGATTCAAATCCATAAGACCCGGGACACCGGAGAGGTCAGGAGAAGGCATCGTTTTCACCGAAGCATCTGCTGCAATGTTGTCAAGGCCCTCTTTCCTCGTTGGCCGATCCAACGATTCGCCGGAATCCTGTGTCTTTGGCACAATTCTGGCCCCGTTGCCCCTCCCTGCAAAGAAACCTGTCTCAAGACCAAGATCATCGGGGAACATGGAGCCAAAATGGGGAGGAAAGCAAAACCAGTCATTGTAACAAGGCTCGGGGGAAAAAAAACAGTGTTTGCAACTCCGGAAAGAAAAAAAATACATCAACGATGGAAAATGCCAGCTTTGGAAATGAACAAAAAATAAGGGTATTGAAATGCCATATTTCCTGGCTGAACAAATAGGCAAGAGGCAACACAATTCATGTATGGAAGCAAGAAACGCCTCCTCTTGCCAGTCTGAAATGGAGGGTGGAGGGTCGATCCATTTGCTTTGGAAGCAACCCCGGAGTTTGGGTTCTTTCGGGGTCCGGATCCCCGTAGTCCCCCCTGCTCACCGCGAGCTCCCAGCATTCCCTTTCCCCGCAATATCACGCCAGGCCGGTCCGGCTGGCGCTCCCCCCTCGACCAAGGCCTCTCTTCCTTCTCCGTTCCCCCCAATCCCTGAAAGGCTTCCGTGGGGCTCAGCCCAGCGCCTCCTGCCCCAAGTGGCTCCTCCGGTGCGCGGCCAGGTTGCTCTTCTGGGAAAAGCTCTTCCCGCAGGTGAGGCACTGGAAGGGGGCGTCTCCCGCTCGGAGTCTCCGCCCCGGGCTCCTTGGGGTCTCCTTCGGGCCAAAGCACCGCTTGCCCTCCTCGCTGGGGAGCGCCTTCTTCGCCCGGTGGGCCCGCTGGTGGCTGACCAGGCTGCTCCGGTTGCCGAAGCCCTCCCCGCACTCGTGGCAGGTGAAGGCGGCCGCCCCGCCGTTCTGCTGGGACTTCTCCTGGTGCTTGACCCTCAGCGGCCTCTGCCCCACGGCCTCCCCGCGCTCCCCGGACGGGCAGGGCCTCCCTCGAGAGGGTTTCTCCGGCACATCCGGGCTGCGTCCGCCACAGGCCCCTTTCTGGTGCGCCAGGAGCTGCCGCTCCTCCCGGAAGCCCTTCCCGCAGGCCGGGCAGGAGAAGGGCCGCTCGACGCCCCCGCCGTGGACCCTCTGGTGGGTCAGGAGGTTCTGCTTGAGGCTGAAGCGCTTCCCGCAGATCCCGCAGGCGAAGGGCTTCTCCCCGGTGTGGATCCGCTGGTGGATGATGAGGTTGTGCTTGAGGCCGAAGCCGCGCCCGCACTCGGGGCACACGAAGGCCCGCTCCCCGGCGTGCTGCTGCTTCTGGTGCCGCAGGAGGCTCAGCGGCTGCGGGAAGGTCTCCCCGCAGACCAGGCACTTGTGCTGCTCCTCCTCCTCCACCTGGCTGTGGATCACCAGCGCGTTCTCATCCCCAGAGCCCTCCTCCCATAACGGGAAGGGCCTCTCACACGACGGAGGAGCCGGCGGGGTGGCGGTGGGACGCTCCTCTCCCTCCATGGAGCAGATCACGGGTCCTGGAGAGGAAAGAGAAACAAAGGGAGATGGAAGGTAAGAGCTGCCCACAGGTCAAGGGAGTGTGCCAGATTAAGGAAAGTAGAACCTGCTTGGAGTCTCTTTTGGTAGAGAAAAAGCAGGGGTAATAACAATAACAACAATAACAACAATCAGGAGGGCCTGATTCTGGCAGCCCAAGAACAAGCCATTCGAACCAAGGCCATCCAAGCCAGAACTGAAAAGTCAACAACAGATCCCAAGTGTAGACTCTGCAAGGAAGCAGGTGAAACAATAGATCACATCCTCCGCTGCTGCAAGAAGATCGCACGGACAGACTACAAGCAGAGGCACAACACCCTTGCTCAGATGATTCACAGCCTCACAACTCTTGTGTGTTTTATGAGTTCCTTATAAACGTCCTGCTCCTATTTTATCTCATTATAGTTCGTTAAATGTTTTTATCCTGTATATGTGGCACGCCCATTTTTCTCACTACAGTGATTGTGTTTATTGGAATGTTTATTTTATGATTATTTTTCATGTCATTTTGATAATGTTGTTGTTGTCTGTTATATATGTTTTGATTTTATTGCTGTAATATGTTGTCCAGGCTTGGCCGCGTGTAAGCCGCTCCGAGTCCCCATTGGGGAGATGGTGGCAGGGTAGAAATAAAGATGATAAAGATGATGATGATGATGATTATTATTATTATTATTGTGCCACAAATACCATCTGCCTGCGACAAATGAATACGTCAAACTACTCTGGGACTTCTGAATTCAGACTGACAGAATTTCGGAGCACAAGACTCCTGACCTCACAATTGTGGGGAAAAACAAAGTATGGATTGTTGATGTTGCAATCTCAGGTGACAGCAGGATTGATGAGTAGAAACTAGAAAAGCTGACACGATACGAGGATTTAAAGATTGAACTGCAGAGACTGTGGCACAAGCCAGTGGTGACTGGCACACTGGATGCAGTGGCTTGCACTTAAAAACAATCAGTGCTGACATAATGACCATCTTCCAACTGCAAAAGGCCACCCTACCCAGATCTGCATGCATTATTCACCGATACATCACACAGTCCTAGACACTTGGGAAGGGTCCAACATCTGATCGAATACAAAAGCCAGCAGAGTGATCTTGTTTGCTGTGTACGGCTCTTGTTGTGAATCTAATCATCATCATCATCATCATCAAACTGCAAAGACTCTGGCACAAACCAGTCAAGGTGGTCCCAGTGGTGATCGGCACACTGGGTGCACTGCCTAAAGACCTTGGATCAGTATTTTAGTTTAATCTTTCTAGCACATGCATGGGTCAACTATGGCCCTCCTTCCAGGTGTTTGGGACTTCAACTCCCACAATTCCTAATAGCCAGTCTGTGCTGGCATGTATTTGAATATGGGTATTTTATAGAAATGTGCATTGCCTTGTATGCATTTATGATGATGAGTTTTAAATGTGTTGCACCACTCCTTGATCTGTGAGAAGAGGCAGGGAACAAATAAATTTTTTATTATTGCTTGCAATAATAGTAATAATAATAATAATAATAATAATGTTTGCCTGGCAACTCGTGCTGGTCTTTTGATCCAACAGTGGATAGTCGTTCTTGGGTCATCAAAGTGGCCCAAAGACTTCAAAAATGCCGGTCCAAAGTCATCCAAAGTCTTCTTTTGTTTTCAAGGAAATGGCGGTTGTTTCGTGGTGTGAAAGGGCCCAATCCTGGAGGTTTCGTTCCCTCTTTTTGCAGCGGAAAGGCACATGAAGGGCATTGTAGGGAAGGTGTCGGGCCAGCTTGGGTCACCTGACACATGCAAGAAATACTGGCGAACTGGGTCGACAAGGAAGAGAAATGCAAATACAAAATCTATGGAGAGTGTTTGCATCCTCCGATAAACAGATGAGCGCATGCATGGCATCAAAAGGCCTTTGCGCAATCCAACTGTTTTGTCAACTGTTTTGAGTCTTGGTTTTGTGGAGAAAGGCTGGGTACAAACCAGTAAATAAATTAATACACTGCGTGTATAATGCAATCCAAACTGCATTAGTTGGCAGTGTAGACCCATCCTTGGAAAGAGGCCACAGCATATGCCTCCTGAGCATTAAGTCATGCCCACAGAAACTCACTCCAAAGCATCCATCAGCAGTGACCTCCTTGAATGTGTTGATACCAGGCCTGGGCTAATAATATTACAACATAATGGTGTATAATAATATACGATATTATTAATATATTCTTATGTTGTTGTTCATTCGTTCAGTCGTCTCCGACTCTTCGTGACCTCATGGACCAGCCCACGCCAGAGCTCCCTGTCGGCCGTCACCACCCCCAGCGCCTTCAAGGTCAGTCCAGTCACTTCAAGGATGCCATCCATCCATCTTGCCCTTGGTCGGCCCCTCTTCCTTTTGCCTTCCACTTTCCCCAGCATCATTCTCTTCTCTAGGCTTTTCTGATATTCTTATAATACAATAATATTATATTATTACAATAATATTATATTATATTATTACAGTATAATAATATAATATTACAATATAATTATACTTAACAATTAATTTTAAAAATATAAATACATATAAATACAAACCATTAAAACATATTGTATTGCTTTACTAATAATATATTGTATATACATATATTTATATTATGATGTAATACAATCTAATACTACTAATATGATATTTATTTTATATTACATGCAATACGACTAATAATATTACAATGTAATGGTGTATAATAATATAATACAATATATATTGTATTATTATTATATTACAATATAATTATACATAGCATAATTAATTAATGGTGCATAATATAATATAAATAATATATTAATAATATATTATTATACTATAGTATAATAATTTTATATTATAGTATAATAATATAATATAATACAATATAATAATATTACACTATAATTTTACATAACATAATTAATGGTGTACAATATAATATAATATAATAATAATATATTATTATACTATAGCATAATAATTTTATATTATAGCATAATAATATAATACAATATAATATTACAATATTGCAATATAATTATGCATAACATAATTAATTAATTAATTAATGGTGTATAATATAATATAAATTATTATTATATAATGATAATATATAGTATTATTATATATTATTATATAATAATATATATATCATTATATATAATAATATATTATATATTATATAATAATATTATATTATTGTATTAATATATATTATATTATTATAATACAATTATATAATAATATATATTATATAATAATAATATATTATATTATATTAATTTATGATAATATATTATTATATCATTATTATAATATACCTTAGCCTTACTCTTATTCATATTCCCACTCTTAATCTCATTCTTAACTTTTGTTTATTATATATTATTATATAATGATAACATATAGTATTATATAATAATATATATTATTATAATATAATTATATTATATTATAATTAATAATATAATACAATATAATAATATTGCAATATAATTATACACAACATAATTAATTAATGGTGTATAATGTAATGTTAATAATATATTAATAATATATTATTATAGTATAATAATTTTATATTATAGTATAATAATATAATACAATATAATAATATTGCAATATAATAATACATAACATAATTAATATAATTATACATAACAAAATTAATTAATGGTGTATAATATTATATTAATAATATATTAATAATATCATATAATAATATTATATTATAATATAATATAATACAATATAATAATATTGCAATATAATTATACATAACATAATTTTAAAAAAACGGTAGACATATGAATGCAAATTGAAGCCATTAAAAGATATTGTATTGTGGCTCCATACCTTGCAGTCAGAGCTGCATTCTATTGCTATCCTGCACTCAGAGCTGCATGGCTTGGCTCTACTTCCGCAGGAGCCCGGGCAAAGGGGCGGGGCTTAGGTGACGTCACCGGCCTCCTCTCTTGCCTTACCTGAATGGTAGCAAAGCCCGAGAGGGGTCGCTAGACTACAGGCCCCGGCATGCAACGCGGCACGGAGCCCCGCCGAGGAGGCTCAAAGGCGGCGCCGCGAGGGTTGCCGGGACTTGTAGTCCTGACGCGTGTTTTGCTTTTTTGTGTGTCCCCCTTTTTTATTTTGCAGCCTTCCCGGTGGAAAATTCCTCCAAAATGAAGGAAATGCAGGTTGCCCTTTTTTGCAAGGAGAGGGAGGCAAGGCAGGAGTCGCCAGGGCTGCGTGCACGCTTCCGCGTCACGCGTCCACACGTGCAAAGCCCCAAATGGGGCCTGCAAAGGGAAATAAGGGCGGGGGGGGGATTAATGCAAGGGAAGGGACAAGGGGGGGCACACACTCAACACAAACCCTTGCAAACGACCCCGCCAAGGTCAGATAAAGGGGGCAGGTCTTGTGTTGCCCGGGGACCCCCTCCACGCGTGTTCTTCCCACTCACTCACCTCCAAGAGCAGCTGCAGCAGTTGCAGAAGCAGCAGCACTCTCGCCCTCTTCCTGCTTCTTCTCCTGCTGCTCCTGGTTCTGTGCTCCTGCTGCTCTTCCTCTTCCTTCCTCGCTTCCTTCCTTCCTTCCTTCCCGGCTCGTCCTTCCTCGCGAGGTTTGTTGCAATGCTGCACCGCGCAGCCCGCCAGCCCTGCCAGGAAGGCCCACTTCCTGCTGCAGAAGAACACACAAGCACAACAACACCAGGCAGCAGGAAGAAGAGGAAGAAGGCTCGCCCCTCTTGGGCTCTCCCTCTCCTGCTTCTCCTTCTGCCTCGCCTTCCTTCTCCCCTAACTCATCTCATTCTTCCCCCCCTTTGTTTGGTTCCTTCTGCTGCTTCTCTTTTCTTCTCTACTCCTTCCGTTTCTTCTTGTCTTTCTGCTCCTTCTTCCCCTCTTTTTCTTCCTCTCCTCCTCCTCGTTCTTCTTCCTCTCCTTCTGCTTCTCCTTCTTCTGCTCCTCCTAATTCTTGTTCTACTCCTTCTCTTCTTCTGTTTCTTCTTGTCTTTCTGCTCCTTTTCCCTCTTCCTCTCCTTCTCTTCTTCTGCTCCTTCTTTTTGTTCCTCCTTCTTTTGCTACTCCTGCTCTTCTTCTTTGTTTCTCCTCCCCAACACTCTCTTTTTCTTCTCTACTCCTTCTGCTTCTTCTTCTCCTTCTGCCTCGCCTTCCTTCTCCCCTAACTCATCTCATTCTTCCCCCCTTTGTTTGGTTCCTTCTGCTGCTTCTCTTTCTGCTCCTTCTTCCCTTCCCTTTTCTTCCTCTCCTTCTACTTCTTCTTCTCCTCTTCCTTGTTCTTCTTCTACACCTACTGCTCCTTTTTGTTCCTTCTCCCGCTCCTCTTCTTCTCTTCTTCTGTTTCTTCTTTTCCTCCTCCTGCACTTTCCTTTTCTTCTTTGCTCTTTGCTCTTTTCTATTTCTCCTGCTCCTTCTTCCCCTCCTTTTTCTTCCCCTTCCTCTTCTGCTCTTCTTCCTTGTTCGTCTTCTGCTCCTTCTTTTGCTTCTCCTGCCGCTGCCTCTTCTCTTCTTCTGTTTCTTCTTTTCCTCCTCCTGCAATTTCCTTTTCTTCTTTACTCTTTGCTCTTTTCTCTTTCTCCTTCTCCTTCTTCCCCTCCTTTTTCTCTCCTTCTGACTTCCTGCTCTTCTGCTCCTCCTCGTCCTTGCTCTCCTGCCTCTACTTTTTGTTCCTTCTCTTCTCCTTTTCTCTTTCTTCTTCTGCTCCTTCTTTTAGTTTCTCCTGCTGCTGCTTCTTCTCCCCTTTTGCTTCTTCTGCTCCTCATCCTTGTTCTTTTTCTCCTTTTGTTCCTTCTTTTCGTACCTTCTTCTGCTTCTCCCGCCTCCTCCTTCCTCCTCTCCTCGCCCCTCTTGGGCTCTCCCTCTCCTGCTCCTTCTTCTCCTTCTGCCTCGCCTTCCTTCTCCTCTGATTCATCTCATTCTTCCCCCCTTTGTTTGGTTCCTTCTGCTGCTTCTTCTTCGTCTTCTCCTTCTCCTGCTCTTTTCTTCTCTACTCCTTTTTCTTCTCCTGTCCTTTGCTCCTTCTTCCCCTCTTTTTTCTTCCTCTCCTCCTCCTCGTTCTTCTTCTCTCCTTCTGCTTCTCCTTCTTCTGCTCCTCCTAATTCTTGTTCTACTCCTTCTCTTCTTCTGTTTCTTCTTGTCTTTCTGCTCCTTTTCCCTCTTCCTCTCCTTCTCTTCTTCTGCTCCTTCTTTTTGTTCCTCCTTCTTTTGCTACTCCTGCTCTTCTTCTTTGTTTCTCCTCCCCAACACTCTCTTTTTCTTCTCTACTCCTTCTGCTTCTTCTTCTCCTTCTGCCTCGCCTTCCTTCTCCCCTGACTCATCTCATCCTTCCCCCCCCCCTTTTGTTTGGTTCCTTCTGCTGCTTCTCTTTCTGCTCCTTCTTCCCCTCTTTTTTCTTTCTCTCCTCCTTCTGCTCCTCGCCCTTGTTCTTCTTCTGCTCCTTCTTTTTGTTCCTTCTCCCGCTCCTCTTCTTCTCTTCTTCTCTTTCTTCTTTTCCTCCTCCTGCACTTTCCTTTCTTCTCCTTTTCTCTTTCTTTCCTTCCCTTTTTCTTCCTCTCCTTCTACTTTTTCTTCTCCTCGTCCTTGTCTTCTTCTACTCCTTCTGCTCCTTCTTTTTGTTCCTTCTCCCACTCCCCTTCCTCCTCTTCTCCTCTTCTTCTGTTTCTCCTCCTCCTCCTGCACTGTCTTTTACTCTTTCTCCTGCTCCTTCTTCCCCTCCTTTTTCTTTCTCTACTTCTCCTTCTTCTGCTCCTCTTCCTTGTTCTTCTTCTCCTCCTGCTGCTCTTTCTCTTTCTCCTGCTCCTTCTTCCCTTCCCTTGTCCATCATAGAATCATAGAATCATAGAGTTGGAGGAGACCTCGTGGGCCATCCAGTCAACCCCTTTGCCAAGAAGCAGGAAAATTGCATTCAAAGCAACCCCGACAGATGGCCATCCAGCCTCTGTTTAAAAGCTTCCAAAGAAGGAGCCTCCACCACACTCTGGGGCAGAGAGTTCCACTGCTGAACAGCTCTCACAGTCAGGAAGTTCTTCCTCATGTTCAGATGGAATCTCCTTTCTTGTAGTTTGAAGCCATTGTTTCCAGGGACCTAATCTCCAGGGAAGCAGAAACAAGCTTGCTCCCTCCTCCTCCCTGTGGCTTCCTCTCACATATTTATACATGGCTATCATATCTCCTCTCAGCCTTCTCTTCTGCAGGCTAAACATGCCCAGCTCCTTAAGCCGCTCCTCATAGGGCTTAAGCCGCTCCTGCACCTTCTTCTCCTTCTGCCTCGCCTTCCTTCTCCTCTGATTCATCTCATTCTTCCCCCCTTTGTTTGGTTCCTTCTGCTGCTTCTTCTTCGTCTTCTCCTTCTCCTGCTCTTTTCTTCTCTTTGAAGCCATTGTTCCATTGCGTCCTAGTCTCCAGGGAATCATAGAATCAAAGAGTTGGAAGAGACCTCCTGGGCCATCATCCAGTCAAACCTCATTCTGCCAAGAAGCAGGAATATTGCATTCAAATCACCCCTGACAGATGGCCATCCAGCCTCTGCTCAAATAAAATTTATTATTATATTAAACTTTATTTGTACCCTGCTAGCATCCCCCGAAGGACTCGATGCAGCTT